AAAAAAAAAAAAAAAAAAAGAGTTGTCTAACATAAAGTTTTCAGCAGCTGTTATTTCAAGTTACCAAATATTTGTTTTATAAGTATTTGGTACCAAGTAATTTGTTTTTTGTTTCAGTACTGAAATGATTAGACAGTCATGGGCATGTGTATACAGAGAAGAGTTTACAACCACTGACCTCAAGATGTGTACTCCGCACTTTTGCAGACTGCCAACACCCTCCCCTCTACTTTCTCAAAAGAAACTACTGCAGACAAGAAATCATACCACTAGTCTAGAAAGGAAGAAGGAGATCACAGTCAGGCTTTGATTCCCATATTCCCAGCTTTGCCAGAACTTTCTTGAAGGTCTGAGCATGGAAGAGATGAGGGTCCTCGATGTTTTTGCTTTACTGTGTGCCCATACCCAAGAGATGGGGCACCTCAAACCCTAAAGATAAGTGACAAGTTGCTTTCTTAATTTATTTTTTTAATTGCAGTAAAATATATGTAACACAAAATTTGCCACTGTAGCCATTTTTAAGGGTTCAGTGTGCTTTGTTGTGCAACCATCATCACCACTCAAGAATCACTTCTAGTAATATAATAACTGTGCACTCATTAAGCACTATACAGTTTCAAAGCATTTTCTCTACTTTATCTGATTTGATCCTCACTGCCTGGCTCGAAGCAACCTCAAACTCTTGGGCTCAAGTAATCCTCCTGCCTCGGTCTCCCAAGTAGCTGGGACTATAGGCGCCTGCTGCAAAGCCTGGCTAATTTTTCTATTTTTAGTAGAGGTGGGGTTTCACTCTTGACCCTCCCACCTTGGCCTCCCAGAGTGCTGGGATTAGCGCCTCATCCAGCCTAAAACGTTTTTGTTTAAAGAGGAGAAGGGTATGTGTCACATGAAGAAGAAGATGTGGAGAGAAAAGCTCAGAAAGTGAAGGGACTCAGCTGGGACTGTGTAGCCACTGTATCTACACAAAGCACTGGCAACTGTTTCTTAAAAAAAAAAACAAACCCAAAAGATGGAAGGAGTATTCCCTGAAACAGGTATTTTCTCCACTTTAAAACAATTCAGTCCTCACTTTTTGCAAAGGAAAGAAAAAGAGGATTTCAAGAATATCTGTGGTAGTAACAATTAAAACACATTCATTTAAAAGAAAGGGGGGAGGAGGAGGCGAGGGAGAGGGGCAGATTGGTGGAGGGAGGGTGATTGGAAGGATCACCTCAATGGTTTGTCTTACAAGGGTACAAGTGAATCTTTCTAAAAGTAGAGTATAGGCTCGGCGCCTGTTGCTCAAGTGGCTAAGGCGCCAGCCACATATACCTACAGTGGCGAGTTCGAATCCAGCCCAGCCCGCCAAACAACAATGATGGCTGCAACTGAAAAAAATAGCCAGGCGTTGTGGCGGGCGCCTGTGGTCCCAGCAACTTGGGAGGCAGAGGCAGGAGAGACTCACTTGAGCCCAGGAGTTGGAGGTTGCTGTGAGCTATGCCACGGCACTCTAGCCAGGTGGACAGCTTGAGGCTCTGTCTCAAAAAAAAAAAAGTAGAGTATAAACGACTTAACACAATAACTAAGAAAAATTACATAAAGTCTATGTTAACCAGTTTGATGAAAATATTTCAGATTGTATATGAAAACACCACACTGTACCCCATGATTGCATTACTGTATATAGCTATCATTTAATAAAAAAATAATAATAATAAAATAAAAGAAAGGGTGATGATTTTTTTTCCTTCAAAGCTGTTAGTGAAGATAACACACATCTTAGTAGATGTAAAAGCAAGGTTACAAAATTAAGTTTTTGTGGTTTATAACACTGTAACACAAACTGGGGTTTTTTCTGGGTTTTTTTTTTTTTTCTTGAGACAGAGTCTCAAACTGTCACCCTGGGTAGAGTGCTGTGGTTTTATGATTTCATAGCTCACAGCAACCTCCAACTCTGAGAGTCAAGTGAATCTCTTTCCTCAGTTTTACTATTTTTTTTAGTAGAGGCAAGGTCCCACTTTTGCTTAGGCTGGTCTGCAATTCATGAGCTTAAGCTATCCACCGGCCTACCAGAGTGCTTGCATTACAGGCGTGAGCCACCACCCCCGGCCTAAACTGGTTCTGAGGAAATGAGTCATCCCTCACCTGACATAACGTGCTCTATGGGACCAGAAATTCACCAAGTAGCACTCTTCAAAAGTCCCAGTTGATGTTCCTGGAAAAGATACAGGGCGGTTCTCTGTGACTTCTCCCAGGAAAAGAGGGGAGAAGGACAGACAGTCGCTACAAAAAGACAAAGTTAAAACAAACCACAGATAGGGAAAAGTATATAGGCAAAGTTTATATCTGATAAAGAACTGTTACTTAAAATATACCAAACTCAACAATAAAAAAAAACTGAAGTGTAAAGCAGGCAAGAGGTTTGAACATACACTTCACCAAAAAGATACATAGATGGAAAATAAACATATGAAAAGATATTCACCATCCTATGTCACTAGGAAACCCCAAATCAAAACA